ACTCTCACCACTGGTCCTGAAGGGATCGTCTGTCCTGGAGTCCCTGTGTTTCCAGTTCCTATCTGTACCAGTGTGCATCCTCTGGTCTAGTCAGATTTGTAAGGTAGAATTGGGATCAGATAGTGGGGGAGAGGAAGCATTTAAAAGAACTAGAAGAAAGTTGTATATTTCATCATTGCTACACTTTTTTCCAATAAAATAAAATGCAACCTATTTTATTTTTAAATCGAGAATTTGCAGCCTGGTGCCTTTGCTGAGCCTGGGCTAGCACCTGCACCTGAGGCACTTTCTGCAAGCCAGCCGGCAGGGGGCGCTGTGCAGCGGGGGTGGAGCTCCACCCGCCCACAAGGCCACGGCTTTTGCAAACCTTGGCCTCATGGGATTGTGCTGGTATCTGTGGATGGGAGAGAAAGAAAAATCTAACATCCGCAGCTACTCTGGCTCCATTCACACATTTAAATGAGTTTGTATCGTATTTATCACAGAAGCCTCTGCATGCATTTGGAACATGATGGACTGCCTTGTGGCTTTAGTCTGTGTAGGCAGAAGCAGGAACCTGGTTGGGCCGCGGGCTGGGCCTGCCACCTACAGACATTTTTTTTAGCCTCCTATGGTGTTGGATTGTTTTTGCTGCTGCTGCGTGAAGTTGAGCTTGTTTCCGATACTTACAAACCAGGAGGCTTCCCAGGTGAAGAACCATGGCCCTGGCCCCGTCATCTTTCGGTGTGGCAAACAGGAGCCCTGTGAGGTCCTGTGGCTGAGAGGGTACTCCACACTGTTGTCACACTCCCCTGGAGGGTCACAGTCCAGGGTTCTCCTCAGCTCACCTTGGTCATGTTCCAGCCCCGGGGCCGCCCTGCCCACTGCCACCTTCTGCCCTTCAAGCCTGTGCCTCGTGGTCACCTCCTCCCCTCTCCCCTCATCAGCACCCTTGCACCCTCCTGCAAGGTGGTCCTGAGTCAAGTACAAGGGCATTCATTGCCTGATGTGAAAATGCTATCAACGCTAAGTCAGTGTGTAAAGGCACATTTAATATAGGCTCAAATCATTTCAGCATATTTCATCTCGGGGGCTGGGGGAAATACATAAGCACAATCTGTACTATGAATGGATCAAAAAATTCAATCCTTACGTGGCTCAATATGTCTTACCAGCACAGCGTTAAGAACACAAACTCCCCACTGCCTGGATGTGCAGAAATTAAATCGCACCTCGCCCCCTTGGGGAAGCCAGGGAGCAGCCATTTCTTTTTTTTGTAAATCATTTTATTAGGGGCTCATACAACTCTTATCACAATCCATACATACATCAATTGTGTAAAGCACATTTGTACATTCATTGC